ATAGTTCTCTTTATAGAGATCTTTCACATCCTTCGTTAGGTACACTCCCAGATATTTCATCTTTTTGGCACTATTGTAAAGGGAATAGAGTCCTTGATTGTTTTTTCAGCTTGGCTATTATTGGCATATATAAAGGCTACAGATATGTGAATATTGAGTTTGTATCCTGAGACACTGCTATATTCCTTGATCACTTCTAAGAGTTTTGTAGTAGAGTCCTTGGGGTTTTCCAGATATGCAATCATATCATCTGCAAACAGTGATAGTTTGTTCCCCTCTGATCCTATTAGGATACCCTTGATCACCTTCTCCTGCCTAATTGTGATGGCTAAGACTTCCATTACAATGTTAAAAAGCAGTGGAGACAATGGGCAACCTTGCCTGGTTCCTGATCTGAGTAGAAATGATTTCAGTTTTACTCCATTCAGTACGATACTGACTGTGGGTTTGCTATAGATGGACTCTATCAGTTTAAGAAATGTCCTTTCTTTACCTATTTTCTTAAGTGTTCTAATCATGAAAGGATGCTGGATATTATTAAAAGCTTTTTCTGCATCAATTGAGAGAATCATATGGTCCTTATTTTTTATTTTGTTTATGTGATAAATTATATTTGTAGATTTATGTATATTGAACGAGCCTTGGGACCCTGGGATAAAACCCACTTGCTCATGATGTATAATTTGTTTGATGTGTTGTTGGATTCTGTTTGCTAAGATCTTATTGAATATTTTTGCAACAATATTCATTAGTGATATCAGTCTATAATTTTCTTTTCTTGTTAGATCTGTTCCTGGTTTGGGTATCAGGGTGATATTTGCTTCATAGAATGTGTTTGGAAGTATTCCTTCTTTTTCAATGTTTTGAAAAAGGCTAAGTAATATGTGTACTAGTTCCTTTTTAAAGGTTTGGTAGAATTCTGATGAGAAGCCATCTCATCCCGGATTCTTCTTTTTAGGGAGATTTTGTATAGTTGATGCTATTTCAGTACTTGATATAGGTCTGTTCATCATTTCCACTTTTTTCTGTTTAAGGCTAGGAAGCTGGCGTGCTTCCAAGTATTGGTCAATTTCTTTCAGATTTTCATATTTCTGAGAATAAAGTTTTTTGTAATATTTATTAAGGATTTTTTGAATTTCTGAGGAGTCTGTTGTTATTTGGCCTTCATTATTTCTGCTTGATGAAATTAGGTATTTTACTCTTTTATTTCTGGTTAGGTTAGCCAAAGGTTTATCTATTTTTTTGACTTTTTCAAAAAACCCAACTTTATGATTGGTTGATCTGTTGTATAATTTTTCATCTATGACTCAGCTATTGTTCAGCATGAGGTGATTTAGTTTCCATCCTGTTTCTCATCCTGTTGAATGTTTCTCTTGACAAAAATGAAGTGACCATTGTCATCTTTATTTACTTTTGTTGGTTTAAAGCCTATTGTGTCTGTGAATAAAATTGCAATGCCTGCTTTTTTCTGATTTCCATTTGCCTGAATTATAGATGTCCATCCTTTCACCCTGAGTCTATATTTATCTTTTAAGGTAAGATGAGATTCTTGTATGCAACAAATATCTGGCCTGATTTTTTGTATCCAGTCATCCAACCTGTGCCTCTTTAGAGGGCAATGTAAGCCATTAACATTAATTGAGAGTAGTGATAAGCTTGGTAGTATTTTGGGTGTCAAGTTTTTGGAATGTCCAATGGACATTTTTAAACCTTTCACCACTTTGGAAGTTGAGATTTGATCAAAAGTTTCCAAGTGAGTTTATTTTGGTGGTAGAGCATTGTGTTGGTCATTGTGGAAGATGAGTCTGTGAATATCCTGGAGAACTAGTTTAGTTATGGCAAATTTCTTCAACATGTGAATGTCATTAAAGTATTTAATTTCTCCATTATAAATGAAACTCAGTTTAGCTGGACACAGGATTCTGGTTTGAAAGTTGTTTTGTTTTAGAAAGTTAAATGTTGATGACCACCCTCTTCTGGCATGAACAGTTTCAGCAGAGAGATCTGCAGTCATTCTAATATTCTGCCCCTTATAGGTTGTGGTTTTCTTATGTTTGGCCACTTGCAGTATTTTCTCCTTCATGATAGCTTTGGCAAAGTTAATTATCATGTGTCTGGGAGATGATTTATTTAGATTGAGTCATGCTGGGATTCTGAAACTGTCTGTGGTCTGAATTTCAGTATCTCTTGCTATGTTGGGAAAGTTCTCCTCAGTTATCTCCTGGAGTAAAGCTTCTGTGCCTCTTGGAACATCTCTTTTAGGGATTCCTATAAGGCAAATATTTGCTTTTTTGGAGTAGTCCCTCAGCTAAAAGACTGATCCATTTTGCTCTCTACTTCTCTTCCTCTTTGAGCATTTGGGAGTGTTTAAAAGCTTTGTCTTCGACTTCTGATATTCTTTCTTCTGCCTGCTCCATTCTGTTACTGAGGGATTCGACTGTATTTCTCATATCTTGGAAGGCTGCAAATTCTTTTCTCAATGTATCAAAATCTTTGGTGATTTTTGTCTTTGAATTCATTGAATTCTTTAGACAATTTTTGAATTATTCCTAGAATTCCTAATTCTAACTTTACTTCCATTCTATTAATCTTATTTGCCATCCAAATTCTGAACTCTACTTCTGACATCTCAGATATTTGTTTATGAATGGGATCAGCTGATTTGCCATTCCTTGGGGGAGTTAAACTACTCTGATTATTCATGTTGCCAGGGTTTTTCTGCTGATTACACCCATGATTATTTTTCACTATTGAGCTAGATGGGCAGATAAGGTGAAATTGGATTTGGGGCTCCTGGAGTTGTTGTTAACCAGCCCTTTGCCAAGAAGCTGGAACTGGTGACTATAGCTTTTTCCCCTGCAGCTTTGCAAAGCACTCATATAGTATTACAGTCTGAGACTCTGGGGACCTGCTTGGTGTGGTGGGGTTAAATGGCTCTGTCTTATATTCAGCTGATCTTTGTCTGATCCTAGCGGATCAGTGACTCTGGGTTGGAGTCTCAGCTGTAGAGAAATACAAACAACTAAGACACCCCACCCCCCACAGGCAAAAACTGGAAGAGGAAAATCAACCCTTCCCACAACCAGGGTGCCACCCTGGAGCGTCCTTGGGTGATTGGCCCAGGTCATGAGTTCCAAACCAATTGACCCAGACAGTATAACTCTCAAGTGGGAGAGTTTGAAAGTTCACCAGCAACCAGACAGCAGAGGTCTACTAGCTGCTCAGTGTGGCTCACTCCAGTGCTCTGTGAAGTCAGAAAGGCTCACCCAGTAGCAGAGTTAGACCAGGGGGGCTGGTGTCTCTTTCCCTTCCTTGCTCCTCTTTCATGCTCAGTCACTGGTAACCCATGGGGCTATGGTCCTGCTTCCTCCAATAAACAGATGTGCCAGAGCTTTGCACCTGCCAGAGTCAAAGGAAAGTCAATGCCCTCTCAGCCTGGCCAACACCCTCTGCCACCAGCTGGCTCGGGGAGCTAAAGCCTGCCTTACTGAATGGCAACTGGGGAGTGTTCTACCTGAGCTCAGTCCAAACCTGAGGATAACAAGTCAGCAAATAATTTTCTCCCTCAGCCATCACACCTTTGCCCTAGCTGCTCTGTAGCACAGGCTTCCTCTGGCATTCCTCAGAGTTGGGGAGGTGTCTCCCCCAAATTATTCCCCTATAGGATAACTCTATTGTTGCTGAATCTTCAGCACAGATGACCTTGTGCTGCTCCCAGGTGACTGCAGCAGTGGCTCCAGCAGGCCAGGGGGTGGGGCTGTGGAGGCTCTGGCAAGGTGGGGTGAGGGGTGGCTCTGGCAGAGTGGAGCATGGGTCGATCTGGCAAGGTGAGGCACTGGACACTCAGAGGTTCTGGCAATGCAGGACATGGGGTGCTCAGTTTGCAAGCCTCCTCCCACAGCCAGTTCACACTTTCACAGAGTCATGCCCAATAGCCTCCTATTCCTTTATCTGTCTGCACTACTGCTGGGCTCACTGTCACAGTGCAGCTTTTCTACCATGGCCTTTGCAATGCCTGGTCCTAGCAATGAACCACAGACCTTCCAATTTCTGCAAGGCTCGGGCCTCTGGACCATCAGGAGAGGGGGACAGGGTGGACTGGAAGTTCAAAATGACAGGGAAAATGTTAGTTCAACTTTCATGCCTGGCAAGAGAGTGCTCAGGGTCACAGCAGGATCCCTCTGGAGAAGTAGTCCCCACTTCCAGCGACTCTCTCTCATGGGGTGAAACAAGAGGTCCTCAGTTTACTGCTCACCTGTAGCAAACCCACAGTGAGCAAAAAAAAAACTCTCCTGGGGGAGAGGACAGACACTCTTTTTCTTTGGGGTGAGTTTTGTACCTGAAATTTGCTTTCTTGGATTCACAGCTTTCCTGAGCAAAAGTAACATGCAGTTATCACTCTTCTCTCTCATCTTGCCTCCTGGTCTTCAGCTTTATTGGGTACTTTGTGGTCATTATCCTTCCCTTTGAACAGGAACTTCTTTCAAAAGCTGTCTCTAGTCAGCCATCTTGCCCCCCACAAAGATTTAACTTTAGGATTCAACCTGGGAATAGGGAAGAACTCAAACTCACAAAATATTTGCATTCAAATCTGCTTGAAAAAATTAAATCCAAGGTATGGATAAAGAGAAATATAAGTTGAAAAAATATGTGATGAGAAGTAGCATCCTTAATACTTTGGAATATGGTATAGATAATCTAATATTTTTTAATTTTCCCTGAAATGACACTAAATTGTAGAACTTAAAGCTACCAGTGTATGGACAGCACCTATGGCTCAAAGGAGTAGGGTGCCGGCCCCATATGCCAAAGGTGGTGGGTTCAAACCCAGCCCCAGCCAAAAACTACAATGAAAAAAAAGCTACCAGTGTATTTATTATATTTGTAAACAAAGTTTTAAAACACATGTAAATATTTTTGCATAGTTTTGCCTCCATTAACTACCCCTCTGCACAAATATATCTGAATTTTAAATGCAGATTGAGTAAAAGAAGCAAGTGATGAGAAACCATACAATAACAACGTTTATCCTGCTGGGACTGACCAATGATCCACAACTAAAGCTTGTGATTTTCATCTTTTTGCTTCTCACCTACATGTTGAGTGTAACTGGGAACCTGACAATCATCTTCCTCACGTTCATGGATTCACACCTCAAAACTGCTATGTACTTCTTCCTACAAAATTTCTCCTTCTTAGAAATCTCATTTACATCTGCTTGTATTCCCAGATACTTGTACAACATATCAACGGGTGACAAGACCATTACATACAACAATTGTGCCATTCAAATTTTTTTTACTGATCTTCTTGGTGTAACAGAATTTTTTCTCCTTGCCACCATGTCCTATGACCGATATGTAGCCATCTGCAAACCCCTGCATTACGTGACCATCATGAACAACCAGGTCTGTAGAAAATTAATTCTTTGTTGCTGGACAGCTGGTTTGCTGATCATTCTCCCACCACTTAGCCTTGGCCTGAATCTGGAATTCTGTGACTCTAATGTTATTGACCATTTTGTCTGTGATGCTTCCCCCCTGCTAAAGATCTCATGCTCAGAAACGTGGCTCATAGAGCAGATGGTCATAGTCTGTGCTGTACTGACCTTTATCATGACCCTAGTTTGTGTAGTTTTATCCTACATATACATCATTAAGACCATTCTACTATTCCCTTCTGCTCAACAAAGGAAAAAGGCATTTTCTACCTGTTCTTCCCACATGATTGTGGTCTCCATCACCTATGGAAGCTGTATCTTCATCTATGTTAAGCCTTCAGCAAAGGAATCAGTGGCTATTAACAAGGGTGTGACAGTCCTCACTACTTCCATTGCCCCAATGCTGAATCCTTTTATTTATACCTTGAGAAACAAGCAAGTAAAACAAGCCTTCAATGATTCAATCAAAAAAATTTCATTGCTTCTAAAGAAGTAAGGAAATTTTCTTATGTAAAAGAATTTTAATTTTTCACAAAAGGATGATTCATTGGTTCCAAAATACATATCTTTAAGTTTTTACATCATTTTTTTCCTGGCAAGGAAGCAGTTTCAGAATAATATTGCCCAAAAATAAAATGTAATACTAGTCTAGGAAACAAGAGAATGACTTCATATATTAAAAAATCTTAACAAAACTGCAAACAAATGAAACACAAAACAAAATAAACAAAATGGATGAGTTTTCCATATAGTTGGCATTGAATAATTGTGTCTATTGCCTTCGCCAATTCTACCTTTGAAAGACCTTTTTCATACTAGATGCTATTTCAGCCACTGGGAATAAATTAGAAAACCCATAAATATATTATCTTATCATGCCTTACATTTTAGTAGATATATATGACCAGCACATGAAAGAAATTTAAACGTCACAAACAACAAACCCTAAAAAGACAATATTTTAATGTCAATAAAAAAAGAACCTATGTCACATGATTATATTTTTAAAAAGAAATAGAATTATAAAATGTAAAATCCTACAATTTTGAATACTCTAAAAAAACAGGACTAACAAAGCAATTTGAATAGAAAATAGGTGAAAAATACTAAAAGTTCATCAAAAAGACTGATTTGTAAGGGCAAATGGTCATATATTTACATCTGCATTAGTTTTTATACTTTTATTACAACTATAACCACTGGCTATTCAAAATTTTAAATTATTAGAACATTGCAAAAAGTAAAAGGCAATTGTATGTATTTAAATAAGGCACACAAATGACCACAACTCAAAGTAAAACTATGGCAGCTGTACTGTCATCTGTGTGAAATCTTCAGGTATCAGTGGCTGCTAATAAGGGCATGAGAATGCTTAACTATTTCCACTGCTCCTATGATGAATCCTTCCTTTTATACTTTGAGAAATACAACGCCTGACAATTAAGTTCAGGAACTCGTCCTGGAAAAACTGCTACCTTCCCCAATGCTGAATATCACTACAGTCACCTTCAAGAACTCCCCTTAGGAAGCTGTGCACTCACACCAGTGCCTAGTCCATTGTCAATTTTGGAACTCCTTTTTCTGAAATGGCCATCAGAGCTGGCATTATATTATGCTTGATGTCCTGAATGTCATCAAAATGTCTTCCTTTCAATATTTCCTTTATCTTTTGGTAGATAAAATGTCCCTGGGGGCCAGATCAGGTGAGTAGGGAAGGTGTTCTAATACAGTTATTTGTTTACTGGCTAAAAACTCCCTCACAGACAGTGCCCATGAGTTGGTACATTGTTATGATGCAAGAGCCACAACTTTCTCATGTCAAGATTTTCAGTTAAGATTTTCCTGGTTTTCTATCAATGTTTATTTGGTTTGCTATGTTTCTCACAGTCAGTCAACAATTTTGAGGCACAATTTGATGAATTTTTGCAATGTTTTCATCAGTTCTGCTCATTACAGACCTCTCTGACCTCTCGTCATCAGTGATGCTTTCTCTTCCTTCAAAAGAAAAAAAAAATTCAGGCTCAGCACCGGTAGCTTAGTGGCTAGGGCACCAGCCACATACACCAGAGCTGGTGGATTCAAATCCAGCCCGGGCCTGCCAAACAACAATAACAACTATAACCAAAAAATAGCCAGGTGTTGTGGTGGGTGCCTGTAGTCCCAGCTACTTGGGAGGCTGAAGCAAGAGAATCGCTTAAGCCCAACAGTTGGAGGTTGCTGTGAGCTGTGACACCACAGGACTCTACCAAGGGTGACATGGTGAGACTCTGTCTCAAAAAGAAATTTAAAATCCATCTGTATACTCTCATTTTCTACATGGCATTATCCCCCAAATTTGGACTTAAATGTCCTGATTTCACTTCCACTCTTGCCAAGTTTAACAAGAAATTTAATGTTTGTTCATTGCTCTGATTCAAGTTCTGACATTCTCACGGCACACGAACAATGAACGCCACTCAGCAAGACACTGCCACACATCAACATGAACTCAGCTGTGATACACTGATATACTAAGGTTATGAAACCTTACTCAGTTGTTTGTACGGCACTGCCAACGAAAGCCCATGGTGGCAAGTTCACAAAGTTAATTGTCAGACCTCATAAACAAGTAAAATAATCCTCAATGGCATTTCAAAGAAGTTGTTCTCTCTATCTCAATAAGTTTACATTGACTACAGGTTGAAATGATAAAATTTTCATATAGTCCATTAAATAATCAATCAACAAGTGCATAGATGGAAATAAATCTCAGTGAAAATCAAGCTGGGGTGCAGAGGAAGAGGGTAAATTCACACCTATTGGCTACAGTGCACACTATGTGAGTAAAGGGCACACTTACATGTGCAACATTGACTCAATCTGTACAAAAACAAAGTGTGTATGCCCTAACATTCCAAAATTTAAACTAAATAAATAAATAAAATTTTAAAAGACACATTGTATAGATATTTTGTCTAGCAACCTTTCTAAATTTAGTAACTGCTTACTATTAAATTTACTATTAATTCAAATCGGCGAGGATTTACTTGTAGTGTCTTTTAAATATTGCGACATACATAAATAAGTAATCTGCAAATAATGATAGACCATTCTATTTATTTGTTTTTTATTTACTGTTCTGTCTAGAATGGTGGGAGTGGACATTCTGTCATAGACATCAACTCAAAAGAAAAGTTTTCATATGATATAAAACATCACATATCATGTTTTCTAGCTTTCCTTCATCTAACTAACAAAGTTTGTTTCTACTCAAAGTTTTTTAAGAATTTTCAATAATAATTGGGAATTGTATTTTATCAAATTACTTTTTCTGCATTATTAATATTATCAGAATTTCATACCTTTATTCTGTTAATGTGGTAGCTTACCCCGGTTGATTTTCAACTGTTAAAACAATCTAAAAATTTCTACTAAAAAACTTACATTTATATGTATCCTTTTCTGTATATCATTCTGTTTACTTTGATTATTTATACTTAAGAATTTTCATATTGATTATAATGTAAGTTGATTTGTAATTTAACTTTAAAATCCTTTCCAATTTTGGTATCAATACTATATTTTCCTCATAAACAAGTTAAAAACTCTTACTTTCCTGTGGATGAATTTCTGTCAAATTATTTAATACATGTACTTGTTCTTTAGGTAAGAACAAATTTTGGAGGAATTTCCTTTTTTTAAAATTAGATCTTAACTGTGTACATTACTGTATTTATGGGGTACAATGTGCTGATTTTATATACCATTTGGAATGTTTACATCAAACTGGTTAACATAGCGTTCACCTCACTTATTTAATTGTTGTGTTTAGACATTTATACTCTACTATTAATATATTTGACATGTACCATTGCAATATGCACAGTAGGTGAGGGCCCACTGATTACACTCCCACCACCCATCCACTTCTCTCCTCTCCTCACCCTCCTCTTCTCTCCTTCTTTTTGGGTTATAATTGTGTTATATTTTTCGTATGGAAGTATACATGATTATATACTGATTTCATAATAGTATTGAGTGCACAGGGTAGTTTTTTACATTCTTGAGATACTTTACTAAGAAGAATATGATCCAGCTCCATCCATGTAAACATAAAAGAGGTAAAGTCTCCATCTTTTTATGATTGCATAATATTCCATAGTGTACATATACCACAATTTGTTAATCCATTCATGGGTCAATGGGCACTTGGGCTGCTCCCATGACTTGGCAATTATGAATTGAGCTGCAATAAACATTCTTATGTGAATGTCTTTGTTATAAAGTGATTTTTGGTCATCTAGCTATACACCTAGTAGAGGAATTGCAGGATTAAAAAGCAGTCTACTTTTAGTTCCCTAAGTGTTCTCCAAACTTCTTTCCAGAAGGAGCATATTAGTTTGCATTACCACCAGCAGGGCAGAAGTGTTCTCTTCTCTCCACATCCATGCCAACATCTGTAGTTTGGGGATTTTGTTATGCGGGTTACACTTACAGGAGTTAGATGATATCTCAAAGTGGTTTTGATTTGCATTTCTCGGATGATTAAAGATGATGAAAATTTTTTCATGTCTCTGTAGGCCATGTGCCTGTCTTCTGCAGACAAGCTTCTGTTTAAGTCTTTATCCAACACTGAAATGTGGTGGAATTTTCTAGTGTAGCCATCTGATCCTGAAATTTCTTTGTGAAAATGTTCTGAATTATGAAATTAATGACTTGGACAGCATTGAAATGTTTATATTTTCCTCTCTCTTCTTGTTTAAGTTTTATTAAATTATGTTTCTTAATTATGTTTATTTTATGATCTTCATAATAGTATGCTCTTAGTTATTATTTTAATATTTGTAGGATCTAAAGTGATATTTTCTTTTTACATCTCAATGTGGATAATTTTTTTCTCCTTTTGGCTATATTTGTAGTTTTATAATTTAATGTTTTTAAAAATATTTTTATGATTACACTTAATTTCTTTATCTTATATTTATTTTTCAAATACTTTGTTTCTGTTTGTACTATTTTATTCTCTTTCATTTTATTTTTATTTGTTTCTTTTAAAGCCTCTTAGGACAAATATTTATATTAGTTATTTTGAATATAACATATTTTCTAAAATATGTATTTAAAATATAAATTGAACCCTAAATACTTCTTTGGCTATTTTCCACAAATTTTTATGTCATATTTTATTATAATTAAATTCAAAATATATTCTAGGCTTGGTACCTGTGGCTCAAGTGGCTAAGGCACCAGCGACATACACCTAAGGTGGAAGGTTCAAATCCAGCCCAGGCCCGCCAAACAACAATGACGACTACAACCAAAAATAACCAGGCATTGTGGTGGGCACCTGTGGTCCCAGCTACTTGGGAGGCTGAGGCAGGAGACTCACTTGAGCTCAGGAGTTGGAGGTTGCTGTGAGCTGTGATGTCACAGCACTCTACCCAAGGGGGAAGCTTGAGGCTCTATCTCAAAAAAAAAAAAAAAAAAAATATACATATATATATATTCTAATTTACA